CCAGGAAAAGTATACGGTAGGGTTATAATTGAAAGAATTAGAGGTAAGACAGAAAGTAGGATTGCGGATGAGCAGGGAGGCTTCAGAGTGGGTAGGGGATGTGTAGATCAAGTGTTTACATTGAAGCATATATGTGAACAGTATTTAGATAAAGGTAGGGAAGTTTTATTGCATTTATGGATTTAGAAAAGGCATATGATAGAGTGGATAGAGGAGCAATGTGGCAGATGTTACAAGTATATGGAATAGGTGGTAAGTTACTAAATGCTGTAAAGAGTTTTTATGAGGATAGTGAGGCTCAGGTTAGGGTGTGTAGAAGAGAGGGAGAATGCTTCCGGTTAAAAGTAGGTCTTAGACAGGGATGTGTAATGTCACCATGGTTGTTTATATATTTATAGATGGGGTTGTAAAAGAAGTAATGCTAGGGTGTTCGGAGAGGGGTAGAATTAAATTATGGGGAATCAAATTCAAAATGGGAATTGGCACAGTTACTTTTTGCTGATGATACTGTGCTTATGGGAGATTCTAAAGAAAAATTGCAAAGGTTAGTGGATGAGTTTGGGAATGTGTGTAAAGGTAGAAAGTTGAAAGTGAACATAGAAAAGAGTAAGGTGATGAGGGTATCAAATGATTTCGATAAAGAAAAATTGGATATCAAATTGGGGAGGAGTGTGGAAGAAGTGAATGTTTTCAGATACTTGGGAGTTGACGTGTTGGCGGATGGATTTATGAAGGATGAGGTTAATCATAGAATTGATGAGGGAAAAAAGGTGAGTGGTGTGTTGAGGTATATGTGGAGTCAAAAAACGCTATCTATGGAGGCAGAGAAGGGAATGTATGAAAGTATAATGGTACCAACACTCTTATATGGATGTGAAGCTTGGGTGGTAAATGCAGCAGCGAGGAGACGGTTGGAGGCAGTGGAGATGTCCTGTCTAAGGGCAATGTGTGGTGTAAATATTATGCAGAAAATTCGGAGTGTGGAAATTAGGAGAAGGTGTGGAGTTAATAAAAGCATTAGTCAGAGGGCAGAAGAGGGGTTGTTGAGGTGGTTTGGTCATTTAGAGAGAATGGATCAAAGTAGAATAACATGGAAAGCATATAAATCTATAGGGGAAGGAAGGAGGGGTACGGGTCGTCCTCGAAAGGGTTGGAGAGAGGGGGTAAAGGAGGTTCTGTGGGCGAGGGGCTTGGACTTCCAGCAAGCGTGCGTGAGCGTGTTAGGTAGGAGTGAATGGAGACGAATGATACTTTGGACCGGACGATCTGTTGGAGTGTGAGCAGGGTAATATTTAGTGAAGGGATTCAGGGAAACCGGTTATTTTCATATAGTCGGACTTGAGTCCTGGAAATGGGAAGTACAATGCCTGCACTTTAAAGGAGGGGTTTGGGATATTGGCAGTTTGGAGGGATATGTTGTGTATCTTATACGTATATGCTTCTAAACTGAGCACCTCTGCAAAAACAGTGATGTGTGAGTGTGGTGAAAGTGTTGAATGATAATGAAAGTATTTTCTTTTTGGGGATTTTCTTTCTTTTTTGGGCCACCCTTCCTCGGTGGGAGACGGCTGACTTGTTAAAAAAAAAAAAAAGGTAATGAATGAACTGTATATACATTTTTTCACTCTGGGATGCTTAAATGTAATAGACTATTATGTGTAGGCGGGGTGGCCTGGTATGGTAGCCCAGCTGACTACCATACATACCACACTTGATTTCTTACAATAAATACTACTTGTCTCACCCTAGATTAAGACTATAAATATTTTAAGGTAAGTAATGAGTGCACTATGTGTGTATTGTACTTTTTTATTGTTTTTTGATGCCTGGTTCTATTGTTGACTTAATATATGTTAGTGTAAACTTGTTACCTAGTATTTGTACGCATTTGTAAGGGGAAAAAAGGGTGTTCCACTTTACGGCGATTTCCGCTTTACGGTGGTAGCCTGGAACCTAACCTGCCGTATAAGTGGGGCCCTACTGTATTAAGGTGTTTATTCTCTAGAAAATTTTTGTAAGCATTCACGAAAAAATTATAGATACCCCTCAAAGGAATTTTTCTTTTGTGAGGTTATGGAGCTCATGATGTAAATAGTGATGATACATTTACGTAATACTAGGTAGTAGGTTGGTAGACAGCAACCGCCCAGGGAGGTACTACCGTCCTGCCAAGTGAGTGTAAAACGAAAGCCTGTAATTGTTTTACATGATGGTAGGATTGCTGGTGTCATTTTTTCTGTCTCATAAACATGCAAGGTTTCAGGTACGTCTTGCTACTTCTACTTACACTTAGGTCACACTACACATACATGTACAAGCATATATATACACACCCCTCTGGGTTTTCTTCTACAGTGGACCCCCGGTTTGCGATATTAATCCATTCCTGAGAGCTCATCGTAAACCAAAATTATCGAAAAACGAATCAGTTTTCCCCATAAGAAATAATAGAAATCAAATTAATCCGTGCAAGACACCCAAAAGTATGAAAAAAAAATTTTACCACATGAAATATTAAGTTTAATGCACACAAACTGAAGAAGACATGCACAGTTTGTAGTACTCTACTAACAGTAGAATACATGACACTTACCTTTAATGAAGATCTGGTGATGATTGTTGGGATGGGAGGAGGGGAGTGTGTCGAACTTATTGTTTAGAAGGGGAATCCCCTTCCAATAGGACTTGAGGTAGCAAGTCCTTTTCTGGGGTTACTTCTCTTCTTCTTTTAATGCCACTAGGACCAGCTTGAGAGTCACTGGCAGCCTCACCATGCCTAATCACACTATGTATGCCACTACGATTCTTAAATCTTTCAAACCAACCTTTGCTGGCCTTAAATTCACTCACATCACCACTAGTTGGAGGCAATTTCTTTACCAAATCGTCATGCAACTGCCTAGCCTTTTCACAAATGATCACTTGAGAGATGCTATCTCCTGCTGTCTGTTTTTTATTTATCCACGCCAATAACAGTCTCTCAACATCTTCTAACACTTGCGGTCGCTGTTTTGTAATCACAGTTGCACCTTTTGCAACAACAGCTTCCTTGATTGCCATTTTCCTGGTCACTGTAGTAGAGATGGTTGATTGGGGTTTTGTATACAACCTGGCCAGCTCCGACACGTGCACTCCACTTTCATACTTTGCAATTATCTCTTTCTTCATTTCAATAGTCATTAGCACCCTTTTTCTCGAAGGGTTGGCACTAGAAGCTTTCTTGGGGCCCATGGTGACTTATTTTGCAGAAACAAGCACCAAAAGCACTGTGATAATATGGAATGTACCGAATGTATCCTTAGATGCGAGCACACTGGCTGGCTTGTAAACACTGGCACACACGTGGACATGTCTCGGACGAATCGTATAACGGATTTTTTAATGAACTGAAGCAAAAATTTTGCGTTAAAATGTATCGAATACCAGATTTATCGGATACTGATGGCATCGCAAACCGGGGGTCCACTGTATTTTCTTTCTAGTTCTTATTCTTGTTTATTTCCTCTTATCTCCATGGGGAAGTGGAACAGAATTCTTCCTCCGTAAGCCATGTGTGTTGTAAGAGGCGACTAAAATGCCGGGAGCAAGGGGCTAGTAGCCTCTTCTCCTGTATATATTACTAAATGTAAAAGGAGAAACTTTCGTTTTTCCTTTTGGGCCACCCCGCCTTGGTGGGATACGGCCAGTGTGTTGAAAGAAAGAAACATTTACGTAATGTTCAGAAATGTATTTTAATACTTGTATGTTAGAGTTGATCATTGTCATAGGTGATTCATCATGGATGATCACATGAATTGATTCATCTACACTGTGTTGAGGGTTTAATTGTTAGCATATTATTAACTACATAATAGAGAGAGAACCCTTCATGAGGGGGTTCCTAAATACTGCTCAAGGAATTGTGGCTACCCTGTTGGTCCTCCAGTGAGACCCAATTGTCTCCTGTTACCCCAGGCACTGTATGTCCCTTATGGGGTTAGTGCTTCCCCATGAATATACAGTGGAACCTCTACTTGCGAGTTTAATCCATTCCATGACCTTGCTCGCAACTGGATTTGCTCGTTTGCAGAGTCAATTTTCCTCATTTAAATTTATTGAAATGCAATTTATCTGTTCCATTGGAATTCTGTACTTCAATTATTTCACTAATATCAAATCTATGGCTTATTTATCCATTCTATCAAATGAGACCAAAAAAAAGAGAATACAACCATAAAAACCATTCAAAATTACCACTAAGGGGTGGCCTATTTGCTGAGAAGTGAACTCCATTATTTATGCTTAGATTTCTTTCTTTTTTGGTGTATGTTAAGAAGCATCTTTCCATCATACATTGCCCAAGTTTCAATAAGATAGTCCAACAAACAAATGAGATACAATTCCCGAGATCAAGAGCAAGAGCCCCTCACCAGTGTCAAGGAACCTGCCTTGAGGTTTGCTCGCTTGTGGAAATTTTGCTCACCTATGGAAGCAAAAAATCGACCCATCGACTGATCGTATTTGGAAAAACTCGCACGTGGACACGCTCGCAAGTAGAGGTTCCACTGTACTAATAATTTTGGAGAGAGAAGTAGAGACATAGGTAGGGTTCATTAACAGCTAAGTAAGGACACATGTTTTCTGGTATACTGTATCCTTTTATTCATAAAATTTGATTTTGAAGGTGATTCTGTAAACCTGGTAGCTCTGAAATGAATACTTTGCATTAGGTTTAAAAAATCACAGTGCCGTAGATGGAACAATTCGCAAATAACGTGCACTTAAGATAGGAAACTTGGAATGACAATTTGGTTCCTTCTGGACCACTGTCAGTGTGATCTGACAGTGGTTAAGGAGGAACTGAAATGTTGTTATGAGTCTTCTCTCCTAAGTGTGGGCTGTTTTTCAACATTTTGCAGATTGCAAATAATTTGCCAAGTGTTTGTGAGGCAAATTGGTTTAAGTATTTTTCTGTATGACTCAAAAAGTTTGTTAAAGCCAAGTTGAACATTTCTTGGCAGGGTGTGCACTGTGAGCCAATAACTGTGCCGTACCTGAGTCCTCTAGTACTACGCAAGGAGCTGGAGACGGTGCTGGGTCATGAGGGTGACACTTGCCTTACTGATGCAGCCTTCACTGACCACCACCCCATCCTCTACTGGAACCTGGTCAGTCACTCACCCACTTCATGCATCCAAATTCACCTTTTAAATGAGGGGTGCCTTGATGCCAGTGAAGGACTCTTTATCTAAAGAATTGGACCTAGCCTTCCCTTTCTTGGTCCATACCTTATTGCTTCCCATCGCCTAGGCATTATATGACCTTTAAGTGTTTCACTCTTCAAGTGACTATAATAATAATTAGAATAATTATGTAATAATGTGTATTTTCATGGGTAAACAGAAAAATAATGGGAAGCACAAACCACAGCTTGTAAATTGACAGTCCGACTCTCTACTGTCTGCACCACCAGGCTTACGAGAGGAAGGAGTCAGAACTAGTACTTACAGTACTGTATTCCGTCAGAGTTCAGTTTGGTCACAGGTAGTGCCTCTGACAAAATATAGTAATGTAAGTACTAGTTCTGACTTCTTCCTCTAAGCTTGGTGGTGAGGACGGTAGGGTGTCGGACTGTCAATTTACAAGCTGCAGACCTTACCCCAACCACCCAGTCCATCTTTCTGTTTATTCACTGATAGTTTGTGTATTGCAACTTAATCTTTATGTATTTTCATGTATATATCTGTATAACTGTCACACTGGGTGACCCTTTCAAGAGGAATACCTTGATAATAATAGAGAACTTTTGATCTAAGGAATTATAGCAAATCTTCCCTTCCTTGGATAAGAATTAATAACCTCTCATTCCTAGACATTGTATGACCTTACATGTACATTCACTACTTTTCTTATCATGCTTCCTCTGACAAGAAAAGTGTTCTTATCTCCCTCTTTCTCCGTGCTCTCCGTATATGTGATCCTCAGTTCCTTCAATCAGAAATTTCCACTCTTCATAATTCATTTTCCCGTCTTGGCTACCCTTCCCATTTCATAGACTCTGCCTTCTCACGTGCTAAATGTAATTTCTTCTCTCCCAAACTCTCTACTCCTGGGAACTCTTCTATCCGGTCTTTCTAATCTCAACAACTGTCTCCATTCCTTAGACATCAAACTTACTTTCCGCCAGACTAACACTCTTCGTACTAATCTCGTTCATACCTCTCCTCCCTCTACAGATGCTCCTGGTGTCTACTCTATTTCTTGTTCCTCCTGTCCTCTTCAGTACTTTGGAGAAACTTGCTGATCTCTTTCTGACAGACTTAGGGAGCACAAAAATAGTGTTAGGCTTGCCGACACTAACAATGCTCTTTTCTGTCACGTCAGAGATCACAGCCATCCTATTGACTGATCTTCTGCTAAAACTGTCTTTCTTACTTCCAACTTTAATAGTCACTGTCTGGTTGAATCCTCCCTAATACACAACTTTCCTTGTATGAATCTTAGTCCTGGCTTCGTCTCTGTAGATGCCTTCCTCTCCCACTACATTGTAAAATGCTCCAAACTTCAGAACACTCGTGACTTAACCTGATTCCTCCTTTTTTCTTCTTTCCTCTTCCCCTTTGCTCTTTCCTTTTTCTCCTTTGGGTTTTCTTTCTTCTGCCCTGTGTATTTGTTCCTTCTTTGTTTATTTATTTATTTTATGTTTCCCCCCCCCCCCCTTGATGTTCTTGCTCTTACCCTCTGTGAGCATCTAGCTGCCTTGCAGTGCTCCTCTTTCTTAGTATTTGACTGGCGGCGGCTGCTGCTGCTGCTGCCGCTGTGCCGCTGCCGCTGCGCTGCCGCGCCGCCGCCGCCGCCGCCGCCGCCGCCGCCGCCGCCGCCGCCGCCGCCGCCGCCGCCGCCTCCTTTTCGTTAGTGTGACTTTGTAAATGGTCCAAGTCGGACTGAAATGTCGTCATAAGCTCCTCTCTTCTATGTGTGGGTTATTTGTGTATTCCCCATGAATATAATTACAACAACTTTTCCTTCACGCACATTGGTGGCAGCTGTGGTACTTCTGCCGACTGAGGGTTCCCAGTCACCTGCCAGGCCTGTGTCTCAGCTCCAGCACTGTCACCAGAGACCGTTTACCACACCCGTCATGGGAATCTGCAGACTGGCAGAATGTCTACATCAGGTGTTTGTGGGATAACACCAAGTATCATGAAGAGGTTAGTCTTACTTTCTCCACTCTCCCTTAAGATACTTAGCTAAAACCTTGGGTACCTTTAAAAAGGGATTAAACAGATATATAAGGCAGAAGGGCTGGGTTTGATTAGTACCTGATATATTGAAGCAGATTCTTGGGTAGCTTTGGGGAAAGGTTGGACAAGTAGGTGGGTGGGAAGGGTTGGTTTTGAGAAGGACCTGCCTTGTATGGGCCAGTAGGCCTGCTGCAGTTCTTTCACTAAATTTTGTGACTACATGATGTTCAACAACAGCCTGGATGATCAAAGACCAGATTGTGCTTAGTGCATGGAGGATCAAACCTCCACCACTTATGGCACTAAACAACCCATACGGGTTTAGTGCTTCATGAAATTTCTCTTCAAGGAGGCTCCTTTGATGTTGGTGAAGGACTCTTTGTTTCAGGTAACTGGAGCTACCCTCCCTTTCCATGGATCAAATCTAATTGTTCCCCATTTCCCAGGAGCTGTATAAACCTTACAACTTAATGTTTTTTTAAGTATAATAATAATATCCTTTGTGCTACCACATGAATTCAGATATTAAAAAAAAAACAACTTTTGATATGTAAAGTAAAAGGACACAAGTGCAACTAATGTGACATTTATTGTGGCAACGTTTCGCTCTCCAGGAGCTTTATCATGGCTTGATAAAGCTCCTGGAGAGCGAAACGTTGCCACAATAAATGTCACATTAGTTGCACTTGTGTCCTTTTACTTTACATATTGTCGGTAATTCTACCAACTTTATTACAACTTTTGATATGTATATTTTTGATTCATTGTTTTTCAGTTGGGTCAACCAATGTACATCCAGTGGCAACAAAACAAAAAGCCGTCCCCCTTAGTGTCGGCCCTGGTGAAGGAGCGCAGCAAAGTACCCAGAGAGTAAGTTCATAACTTTTTTTTGTTCAATGCACCGGCTGCATCTTACTGTGGCAGGGTGACCTAAACAGTCAAATGAAAGTTTTTCTTTCTAACCCTTTGAGGGTCCAAGAATTTTCAAAAAAAAAAAAAATTTATTTTTTCTTATGAAATGGTCGAGAATCTTTTTCTGAAGGTTATAAAAGAAAAAGTTTGAAATTTGATGAAACTAGACTATCATTAATTTTACTGCATCTGATATTTATGCATTAGCAATTTTGCCCTTTTTGACTCCTATTTTAGGCTTATTACATTATTCCAGTCTACCAGATTCTTAGCTATTTTACTATTATTACTTCTATTTTATTGATTGAGCACAATAAACTGCCCAATCAACTATTTCAACTACCCAATAAAGTAATCAGAAATTGGTAATTTGGCCAATTTCACATAAAGTTCAAAATATTCCCATTTCAAAATAGGGTTCAGAATAAACAATGCAGACATTCCTGGCACTAATATAATATTTCCTCTGTTAATTAGTTACATTTCCAGGCTTTACAGATGAATTCCATTTTCATTTTTTACTTTCTTAAAGAATTTTTATCCACAACAAAAAATAGAAGATTTACTGTTATGCAATATTGTAATAATTGTATAAATGATATCAGCACATCCGTGAACTTATATTAGACCCACCAGTTGATGTGTATTGGATGCGTGACGTCATTTGTTTACTCTTGAACATCGGCAAACATCAAACATTTCTGCTACTTTGAGCTCAATTTCAAGTTATTTTCAGTACAAAATCCAATCAAAATCATCTCTATTTCTGTAATATATCTTCCATTCTATTAAATGCGACCAAGAAACCCAAAATACAACCATAAAAACCATAAGAAAATGTAATGCAAATTTGGTGTTTTAATCCAAAAAACACGATTGCATTTTTTTTCTCATTATGCACTGCGTGCTGCAGGATTTGTTTTATATGCTGCACACTTATCACATAGATGCACTCTCTTATATCTATGCCCAAATTTACCACTCACAGCTTATCTGAGTCAGCTGAGCTCATGATGTAGATCTACGGCTTGGACCCTCAACGAGCTAAATTTAGTAATTTATATAGGAGAAGGGGCTACTAGCCTCCCCCCCCCCTAATGACTTGTCATATTAAATAAGGTTTGGTGGAATATTGTGTAAAAAATAAGGAATGAAAGATATAATTCAGAGAGCAAAAAAATGAGTAGTTGAGATAGTGTGAGTTCGTGGAAAGAATGAATCATATATGGTAGATTTAGGGGATGGATAGAAGGTGTAGGGAAAGTCCCAGGAAAAACTAAGAGGAAGGTATTAATGAGGTGTTGATAGGTAGGAGCTTAAGTTGTGGATTATTATTATTATTATTATTATAATCAAGGGAGAAGCGCTAAACCCGTAGGATTATACAGTGCTTGTGGGGGGATGTGGAAGGTATTCAGGTTTAATTCAGGGAACTGGAGCACAGATCTAATTCCCTCGATCAAGAGCCCTTCACCACCATCAAGGAACCTTCCTTAAGGGCTTAAGTTGTGGTAAAAGATATTTATGTTGTTCAGGACATTTATTAAAGTAAACATTTCCTCTATTAAATGTCCTGAACTGTATATAAATGTCTTTTTCCACATCTTGTTGTTGCCACCAAACTATTTTTCAAGAACTTAAGTATCCAGCAGTCATGTATGTATGTGTGTGCATTAAGTCAGAGTGAGCAGATGCAAGTTGTCTTTGGTATTTAAGGTGAACTTGTCAGTATCATTAAAGTAATACAGGAACCAGCTAGCTAAACATTGAGGTCTGGAGATGGTAAGTAGTACCTTTACTCTAAACGTCAAATGGGAAAGGTTGCAGTAACCTAGGTCAACATTGGACTGTAATATTTGTCAATGTGTTGTGTTCCTTCTTTCAGGTCATACTACTTTGGTGAGAAATGGCCATTGTGTTTAATAAACATGAGTTTAGCAAAACATTGATGAGGTATTTTATTCATTTTATTGTAAAGCAGAGGAAATATGTCTTTGGCATGTTCTATCTTCTTTCATTCATACAGTGTGATACAGAGTGTGATAACAGCCATTCACATTGATGATCTGACGACGGCCATGAAGCTTGTTCTGCAGGAACTTCGCAAGAGACCTTCCCTGCTGAAGAAGAACCACTTTCCCATATATCGAGACCTCCTCTTTCTCGCGTCGTCCTGTATCCCGCCCGCCCAGCTTAATCTCAGTGAGTTGTCACATCATTGTACTAGAAATCTAGCAGATGGCTACAAGACTATTTCATGGTGGCCATGTTTCTAATGTCGTCCTTGTTCATGGTGGTCTTCCTTCTGATGTCCTCTTTGGATCAAGTCTTATTACCTCCCATTCCCCACCCATGTAATGTGAACCACTGTGGGTTTAGAGCATCCTCTGATATTCACCTCACTCCATATCTGTAATTTTTTTTTTTTTAAAGACTAGCACTTCCTCAACCTTCCTGAGGGGAATGCCTTCATGCTGGTGAAGGGCTCTTGATCCAAAGAATTAAAACTAAAGTACATTTAACTTCCTCATATAAAATCTGATTACCTCTCATTTCCCGATGAATGAAGCACTTCTTATTAAATAGTGTACTCTTAATAAGTCAAGTACATAGTTAACCACTGCTAAACAACCATCCAACGTAAACCATACCATGGGCGGGGATAGAACCCGCGATCAGAGAGTCTCAAAACTCCAGACCATCGCGTTAGCCACTGGAGTTTTGAGACTCTGATCGCGGGTTCTATCCCTGCCCGTGGTATGGTTTGTTTGCAATCGTTTCATTACGATTTCATGAGTCATGTTAACCATCCAACATGTTATGACCTCTACTAAAATAACCCTTTTCTTTCTTTGTGCATTTTTAAAATTGTTAAACTATGTAAGTGTTCATGGCTTCATGCAGTATATGTACTACAGGCCCATGGCACATGTACTAAGCTCAATCAGGCTATCAACTCATAATTCCACATAATTGTAACATTGTGTACATTTTACATGCAGTGTACATAAAGAGATTCTGTTTAGCACATGAAATTACTAAACAAAATGGGACATAACATATAATTATAATAAAATTCTTCCTCCTGTTGTAAGAGGTGACTAAAATGCTGGGAGCAAGAGGCTAGTAATGCCTTCACTTGTATAAATTACTAAATTTAAAAAGAGAAATTATCATTTTTCTTTTTGGGCCACCCTACTTTGGTGGGATACGGCCGGTTTGTTGAAAAAAAATTATAATCACATTAAGTGTAAACCCACAAGGGTTATACAGTGCTGGGACATGACATGGTAGCAAAGCTACATAAGGCCAGGGAAACCTGTGTTAAGACACCTTCTCCATTAAGATTTCTTCATCTAGATCATATCAGTATTCTCAAGAAGTGTGTTTTGGTGTACACAGTGGCACTTTTCTGTACTGCTAATTGATTCATCTCTTGATCCAAGTAATTGGATCAAGAGATGATTTGACTGTGATTATATGACAATTATTTGTATTAATACCACTTTAGAAGCAGATGTTTTAATGTGTGTGAATCACTTCCAGCATCATTTGACCGTGAGTACCGTCGTGCATACGAGCGTAATGAACAGTCATATGGAAAGTTGCTGATGCGCTCTGACACTCCTCCTCCCATTGCTGCCGTCTTCTGCCGCCGATACTTTAGTCAGCTGAGCCTGTGATACCTGACTCCCTGCCCTGCACCTGGGACCTGCAATTTTCACTCAGGACCTGCCCATGGTACTCCAGGTCCCAGATATGGGACACGGATCCCTCTGGTAGCATCCGGGACCCACTCTTAGCATGTGTAACTTCAGAGCATACATAAAAAAGTTCTGTTGCATCTATTAAATCTTCAGATGACAACCGCTGTAAAAATAATTGCTTCAAGACAAAACACTGCATATATTATAGTTTGAGGTATCATGGGTTTGGGTTGCTGGGTTCGTTTCTGAAGTCAACATCAGCGTCCATTCCTTGCAAGTGGTGGTGACTTCACTAGTTTATACCTGACAGGCTGTTTGTTCCCACTGACTGTGAGGATATAAGCATGGCCTTAAAAGTGTTCTTATGTTTTAGTCAAAGGAATGGCTGCAGTATTTGGTAGGAACTATAGTTATCTGCCTCAAGGTTGACCTAAAGGTTATTCCAGGGTAATACTGACAGGAATGTACAGGATTTTTCAATTGGGTATTGGAGAATGGGACAAATATTCTAGAAAAGTGTAAATAAAAGTATTACTGGATATTTTGGATTTGGGGGAGGGGAAAAGATTTTTTTAAGGCTTATGAAGTAGAGTTTGCTTGTTTCCTCTTGTTTGCATATGTATATAAAAAAATCCTGAGGTGTATTTGTGTGTCGCTTACATGTGATCATATACGAAGGCCAAACAGAGCCACTTTTATATCTGTCTGCAGATCGTCCATTATAATCAACAAATGAACAGCATACCCGTGACCTTTTTTTTTTTTTTAATGTAACTTACAATAACTTGTGCCTGATGTGGTAATGAATTAATACTGTTGAGTGATGAGTGGTGGCAGTGCTTTCACATTACAGCAGTTAGATGTATCATGCATGTTACACTCCCAGGCAGAACCAGCAAGAAAAGACAAAAATATTGCTTTCTGCATAACTTCACATGTACTTTTATCTGTAAATCCAAAATTATCAAACACTATTCTTTCTTTTCTCGGACAGTTCTGCATTTCATTTTTAATTCTTAAGATTTTTTTTATATTGTAGTGCTCTGCAATATTGGCTGATAAGGTGAATTACATAAGGAATTACTCGATACATTTATCAAATTTTTTTACTGTACATTATAGTGTGCCTTAGTTAGCCAGCTGCAGCAGGCATTGGGTTGCAGATGTGTGTTTACAACTTTATTGTTACTCTCTATGTTCTGTATATGCCACAGAAAATATTGTAGTAAGCTGGACAACAGAATCAGCAGTTGAAGAGTGAGACACTTGTGTAACATTTGAGAATCTTTATTGAGGAAAGATTGTCCAATACAGAGAAGTTTGAGGTAATCAGTCCCTCAGCCCTCATGCTGAGGGACTGATTACCTCAAACTTCTCATCTTTCTCCATTCTCTGTATTGGACTAAAGAAGCTACTGGCTGGCAAAACATTTCTTCAGTGAAGATTCCCAAATGTCTCATTCTTCAACTTGTCAGTTTTCTGAACCATTTACATCACAAAATCAACAGTATCTGCATCACTTGTTAAAAGGTTACATGAGGAGCTGAGGTAGTTTAAAGCAGCCACTCTGGAGGGGCTCATTTTTTCCGTCGTAATAAACTATAATATTTTTGATGAAATTCCTGCCTGAAAAGTTGTAAATTTTCTTCCATTACTTCCTCCCCATTTTTAAACTGCAGGGAATATTACAAATAATGGCAGCTTATGATCACAAGTGAAACATTCACCCCATAGTTAGTTTGTTCTGAGCCATACAGCAACAGCAGTGCCTGACTTGAAACTAACACTTGTCTCCCACTCCATTTGAAGTAACAAAGTGTTTATTGTGAAAGATTAGCTGTATTTGGGGTCTTGAGGTAACAGTGTGACTAAGTGTATACCACAAAATAAATTACTCTCCTGTTAAACAGGATTGACCATGGGTACAGACTGTCCTCATTCATCACTAGTCTAGATCACTGTTATTTGTACTTGGATTAATTTTAGGATAATGGTATCAAGTTGTAAGGTGCTTTACATACAGTGGTTAACAGACAGTGTTGAGAAGCCAGCCTTTATCAGCCTTTATCATTACTCAGTATTAAGTCCAACACTAAATCTTCAGACTAATTTCACCATTGACTGGAAATTTTGCTCTAATGGCATGGATGATAATATTCAGGTTTTGGTTCTCTAATTGAAACTCGTACACTAATGACAATTGATCATTTTTCAGGTTGCACATTAGTTTTGCAAATAATAAAAGCCCATAGTTTATTGCAGACCACATCTTGTGTGCTGCTCAGTGTGCAATTATTTACAGACATCTTTTAAGTTTAAACACATCCCAGTGTGCAATTAACTGTGATTATGTACCTACATATGTGTGTGTGAGAGTGAGTGAGCAGGGTCTGGTGTGAGTGGGTGGGACATTTGGGTATATCACCAATCATTGCCCATAGAATGCCACATCTGTCTTAGATTACTTTATGATTTGACTGTGATTACATGTAAACTATTTCTCTGTATTACCTAGTCGTATAGATTCCCATCTGCTACTTTTTTATAGGAATTTTGTGTGTGTAGTTTAGTTTTGGTCTTACATTAAAATCATGTTATTCCTGATTTATCTTGGAGCATTATTCTCTTCAAGATTTACTTCTTGGCTTAATTTGAAAATAAAATTATGGCTAAAATTATTTATTCTCTCAATAAAGTTTTTAACTCCGTTTCTTCAGAGTGCCCTTGCCATAGTTATTTGTTTCCAAATTCAATATCCTATAACATTATTATTATTATAATCAAGGGAAGCCTAAACCGAGTTTTACAGCGCCTGGGGGGGGATTGAGGCATTCAGGCTTAATTCGGGAACTGGAGTCCAGTCCAATTCCCTAAATCAAGAGCCCCTCCCAACACAATGACCTTCTTAGGTCCTCATACACAATAATCACAATTGTTGTTAAATTAGACACGTGCAACTCTTGCGTATCTTTATTGAGGAAACATTTCGCCACATTGTGGCGAAATGTTTCCTCAATAAAGATATGCAAGAGTTGCACATGTGTCTAATTTAACAACATGTCGGTTCTTTGAACCATTCATCTACAATCACAATTGTTGATGAGGTTAAATTAATCATCGACCCCCATTTATTATGGCCCTTTAATCTTGCATTCAAATGCTGGCAGTTTGACTCAAGGTTCCAGCACTTCTCCTTTGCTGCTCTATATTCCAATCCTGAAAGCCAATATATCTGCTGCAAACTCACATTCACTCTAAGCTTGAACACTGTCAGTCACTTTTTCATGCAGTGGCAGTGTACATTGATAGTTTCAAATCCTCAGATGGAGTAGGGTATGCAGCTGTTTTTTTTTTTTTTTTTTTTTTTTTTTTTTTTTTCAGAACATTTATTAAAGTCTGCCAGTTTTGTCTTAGAAATTACATGCACTACTTGTTGCTATTGTTCACACTGCAGTTATGTCCACCTCGATTTGTTTCTCACTCTTCAGAGTGCATTACAAGCCCTCCATTATTGCATATTTCATATGCAACAATGTTAGAGTTTTTAAACAAGTTGTGTTTTGATGGGTCCCTGGACATGTAGACTCAGCTGCTCAATCTGCTATTCCCAATCTGCTGATTTCTTGCAGGAGTGCCTTCTTTTTTTTTTTTTTTTTTCTTCCTACCTTTCCAGTATTGCACTAAAGATTCTGAAACTGCTGGCAATAGCATTGATCCTAAATTAGAAGACATTGTTTTTTTTCATCAAACTACAATTAGGCTTTTGGCCATCTTTCCATTGATGTTAAACATGGAATAAATAAGTTTATTCAGATATACAAAAATAGTTACATAGAGTTATCATAAATAGCAGAATATGTGTAGAGAACCCAGGATAACCCCAAAAAAGTCAGACAAATTGACTTATTTCCATTGGAAAGACCATGTTCTCAAATTGATGTGACACATGACTAGCACACCAACACCTTATAGAAAGACACCTGGTGCCTCTGCACAAACTGCCAGGTAGCGCTAACATTTCACCAAATGTAGTCTTATCTGAGAGCATGCAGAGTTAATTTCAGTTATTATCAATATTCTGATGTACTCTCTTACTGCTCTTCTCAGTGAGTCTTACCTTTGACATTGACTACTAATGTGACTTTTTAAACAAATCAGTCTATTGCACTATGATATTAATTTTACACCTTCATTAATCCTCAATTTCACAAGCCTTACTGTTTAAACCATTTTGCACTGTTGGACCCATAAAGGTTTGGTGGCTTTGTTTTGATGATTAACATAGGTGCTTGTCTCATGGTCCTATCTTCTTACGTTACAACTGTCTACTATGCCAAAGTTTATCATCACAACTGATGTGAGTTCTATTCCATGGTTAATGCATTAATATGAAATGAAAATTTTCCTTTAAAATATGTGCTAAGTAGGAGGATAAACTTGTAGGAACCATTGCTAGGACATAAGACACACCAGTATTAATTAAGGGTTACTCGAAATAGATATACATTTAATATCCTCACAAACTAGGTTCCAGAGCAGCAAAGTTTAGGTACATCACAAGAGTCATATACATGCAGGAATTAAATATATACATGGCTTAAGTTTTATGTTATCAATAACTATTTCTCATTTCTTATACATATGGTAAGTGTGTGTGTGATTGTTAGAGCTGCAAATTTGTGTGTGTATTTGCAGTTAGAAGTGTGCACCTGCAGATATAAGTGGCCATTGTTGACAATGTCCAGTATATTGTGGTTTTGTTATTACTACTTTCTTGCTACTCTTTCTTTTTTTTTATTTCCTACGAAGTCTTGTGAAACCTTTGGAAAATCTTTATACTTTTGCTTGACTGTCAGGTTTAGTGCTTTTTTTTTTTCTTTTTTTTTTAAATCTATAGATAAACTGAATAGGATTATCATTAGATACAATTTGGAAAATCCTTACCAACAGAAATTTAAGTAAGTTTATCATAATGTAAGTCCTTTTCTTGTTTTGGACAGCTAACAGATAGAGAGCAAGATAAAGAAAAATTGTTGATCCCAAAAATTCCACTCTTAAATAGCACTTGTTTTTCCCTACACAAAAGAGGCATGCTGCTCTGTGACGACTTCTGGGTACTTATAACAATTCACAATGTATTAATAAACTGTCCCCTCTATAAGAGACCATACAGAATTCAGTTTTTGACATCTGTAATGTCCTCATGCAGTCACAGTAACTCTCTAACTGCCATCTTTGACAAACTCCCTCTGACTTAATAAATTGATTGAAGCAGCTGTATGCTAATTTTACACCTTCACTATCCATTACAACTTAACCACCTCTATGCTAAAAGACCCATACATATTTGGCACTTGTTTTAAATATACAGTACTGTAAATAATAATGCCATCTTGTGCTTTTTCTCAAGATGTTCCAATCTGATTTGCTAATTTCAACTGAAATGTTATCAGTGTTGCACATGATACTGGAGACTGCACAGTAGCAACGGTTTTGATGTGAAGTGTTGCCTGTTGGAAAACTTTCTTTATTTTAAAGTTATTTGATGGTAGTGTGTGAACTATGTTGTCTATTATATACTCTACTGCTAACAAAATTCAATTTGTGAAACTATTTTGTCAGTATCATTACATCATTAGTCTTATATGTAATTAAGAACATGAGTATACACATTGTAAGCTTACAAAATGAATCACATCAGTAATTACTTATGTATTTTGGATAACCCAAGTACTCAGTGATAAAAGATATTCTGTATGGCAAAAGTTATTTATCAAGATTATGTGCAGTCTATCTGTTTTGGTTTAGTATAAGGAAGCAAGCAAGAGCACCTATTCCAGCCTTTAGTCACAACTTATTAATTTACTACCACTACTAATCTGAACCTCTTCAAGGGGGGCTCCTTGGCGTGGTGAAGAGGCTCTTGGTCTGAGGAATTAGACCTGTCGGTCTTCTTCCTCAGACCGAACCTAATTACCCCCCAATCTCCCCTCCCCTATCCCATCCTCCCCTTTTTCCTTTCCTCCTCCTCCTCCCCACCCCTCCCTTTTGCCCTTCCTCTTTTTGGCCTTTGGGATTTCTCCCACAGGCGCGCTAGGGGAAAGGATCCCGGGGGTCTATCCCTTTCCCGTTGAGGTTCTTGGGGTGGCGTAGTTTGCCGGGAATCTGGATCGCCTGGGGGTTCCCGATCCCCTCCGTATCCCAGAGTACTTTGGTGCCTTTCGGGGGACGGGGGGATCTCTGGAGCCCCTTTTGGATTCCGGGGTGTGGCCGAAGGAGTATGCTTTGTGGGGGATACCGGCCGCCCTCTTTTTGTC